ATAATAATAATAATAATAATATTAACAGTCCATGGGCAGGTAGGGTCTCAGCCTGTGTACCAGATGGAGCTGGTAGACAGCTGCCCTGGATACAGAATTGACCTGTGCCTCCATGGACAGCTGTGAGTCCAAAATGACTCCCAGGCCGCGGACCTGGTCCTTCAGGGGCACAGTTACCCCATTCAGGACCAGGGAGTCCTCCACACCAGCCCGCCCCCTGTCCCCCCAAGAACAGTACTTGTGTCTTGTCAGGATTCAACCTCAATCTGTTAGCCGCCATCCATCCTCCAACTGCCTCCAGACACTCACACAGGACCTTCACCACCTTCACTGGTTCTGATTTGAAAGAGAGGTAGAGCTGGGTGTCATCTGCATACTGATGGACACCCAGCCCCAACCCCCTGGTGATCTCTCCCAGCGGCTTCGTGTAGATATTATGTGTTATGGGATTAAAGTTGGCCACAACTTTATTAAACTTTCAGATGTAGGAAGACCTTGGCTTAGGCAATGGGCATTTATCCCTCCCAGTCCCCAGCTGGGGATCTGGGCATAGCTGTCAAGCGTCCCTTATTTGGCGGGACAGTCCCTTATCCCAGCGCCATGTCCTGCTGCTGTCCCTTATTGATGATGTCCCTTAAAATTCCTGGGTTTCAAAGGAAGCAGCTCCTCCCTCCCTCCTTGCCAGCCAGGGAGGAGGGAGGCTCCAACTGTGTTGCTTGGCTGCGTTGCTCACCCAATAAGAAGTTTAAGAACTACGGGGGGGGTGGAGCTTGCATGCCTTGTGCTGATCAAATTGGCTGCGTTGCCTCGGGACTTGCCTTTGCTCAGCGCTTCCCAGCGGAGAGGTGACGGTGGTTTTCCTTGCGGCTTGAGGCTTCGTTTGGCTGCTGGCTGGGCTTTCTGCCTTTGGCTCAGAGGGGCTCAGAAGTTGAACATACCTGTGCTTGGAAAATCCCTTATTTTGGCTACTGATCCCTTATTTTCAAGGCTGCGGGTCCCTTATTTTCAAATCTGTAAGTTGACAGCTATGGATCTGGGAGACATCAGGGTTATCCAGTCTGTCTGGGAATCGGGCTGGCTCTGGAAGACGTATGTTGAAGCAGAGATTCCGCCTCCCATTTCACCAAAACACAGGGGAGTGCACCAACAACCTTTCAGTCTATGGCCAGTGACTCCCCTCAACACAACCCCTTTAACAGGGAACCCTGGGATCGCCGCTGTGGCAGGGGTGTGGGTGTGTCACTGCTTCACCCCCCCCCAATTCAGGGAAGATAGACTAAAGGATTCCGCCCAAGGTCTATAACTGCCAAAGTTGTGACGTTTTGCTACGGGGAAGGCGAAACCTGCCAATGCAGGGAAAATTCCTTCCCAGTCCTTTAACAGCACCTGTCATAGGACCGCAGCAGCACCCGCATACCTGTAAAGAAGAAATTAAAGGTAAAGGTAAAGGGACCCCTGACCATTAGGTCCAGTCGTGACCGACACTGGGGTTGTGGCGCTCATCTCGCTTTATTGGCCGAGGGAGCTGGCATGTGGCCAGCATGACTAAGCCGCTTCTGGTGAACCAGAGCAGCGCACGGAAACACCGTTTACCTCCCTGCCAGAGCAGTACCTATTTATCTACTTGCACTTTGACATGCTTTTGAACTGCTAGGTTGGCAGGAGAGGGACCGAGCAACGGGAGCTCACCCCGTCGCGGGGATTCGAACCACCGACCTTCTGATCGGCAAGTCCTAGGCTCTGTGGTTTAACCCACAGTGCCACCCGTGTCCCTGAAGAAAGAGAGTTAACCTGCAATAAAAGGCCTAAACAAAGGGAGGGTAGAGCAGGTGAAGCTCTGGAGCAGGGGTCAGCAAACTTTTTCAGCAGGGGGCCGGTCCACTGTCCCTCAGACCTTGTGGGGGGCCGGACTATATTTTTTTTGGGGGGGAATGAACGAATTCCCATGCCCCACAAATAACCCAGAGATGCATTTTAAATAAAAGGACTCATTCTACTCATGGAAAAACATGTTGATTCCCGGACCGTCTGTGGGCTGGATTGAGAAGGTGATGGGGCCACATCTGGCCCCCGGGCCTTAGTTTGCCTACCTATGCTCTGGAGCCTCTGGAGGCTCCACCCCCTTTTATGCTTAAAGATCGGACCCTACCCTTACTTGGTCCACTCCCCTGGCTCCGCCTCCCCAGTCGCGATTGGTTATTTGAGCTGAGGTTTGGCGGGAACCTCAAGGTTCGTGACTCGGAGAGGTGGTCCAGGTGAGCTCTGCTGGGAGTCACGTAGGATCGGGGGGTGCTGCGCACAGGCACGCAAAGGGCACCCTCCATTTGATATGGAGAGCAGTCATTCTCATCCTTCCCCATCCTTTGAAGTGCCATCTTTCAGATTACAGACATGATGCAGAGGTTGTCTTGCTTGTTGCTGATCTTCTGTAAGCCACGCTGGACACCTTCTTGGCAGGGTAAAAATCCTTTAAATAGACAAAACGGGATGTCAACGTATCTAAATGGCTGATCTCCTGGGCCAGGAATGCCCTTTCAGTTGTTGGACTTCTCCAACTCCCATCATCCCCAGTCATTGGCCAAGCTGGTTAGGTGGTTTTTTTTAAGTAGACTTTATTAATTACTTCACCACATAATATAAAGGGTTAATAATTTGCATTTTTGAGCAAAGACAAAAATTTTACATAGCATGCAACATTACATAATTATATTTAATAAGGACGTATGTTAAAATACATCTGAAACTTTATGCCTTTTTCTAGCCAACCCCTCCTCTAACTTGTCACAACTTCACAATTATTAGAAGGTGAGCTAAAATGTGCAAGTTCAGTATGGTTCGCAAATATGATTTACTTGATTAGCTGTTAGTGCTGCAGTAGCTTTTCTAAACAGCTCTGGCTGAACATGACTCATTAGGCAAGCAATTCCTAATCAGAGTATTACCATGTGGGGGTCTTTTCTTTTCATTAAGATAATTGCTTTTTACAAACTAAGAGTTTTATTATGGTAAAAAGGGGTAAAACTGTTTAAACCAATAAATAAAACTTATAGACAAAAGACCAAATGGGATATAGTTCTCCAATTATTTTAAACTTTGGGAAAATTACATTTGAATGCTCAGCTGGAGATGTCTTGAAGTTCCATTTCTCACGGTCACCTGCTGTCTGTTATGTCTAGAATAGCCCAGACTCTTATTGTGTTTAATTATCTTTCAGCTGTATAGCACTTAATTGTTGCCATCTAGTAAACTGTGCTTATGTTCTCTTCAGCTATTATGCATAATAGTGTGCTAGCAAAATGCCTTTTGTCTGAAGAGTGTCTTTTGTAATCCCTCATTGCATGCACCGCACCATCCCATGTAGTTTATTATCATTCCCATTTTACATGACGGTATCTGATAGGGGACGCGGGTGGCGCTGTGGGTAAAAGCCTCAGCGCCTAGGGCTTGCCGATCGAAAGGTCGGTGGTTCGAATCCCCGCGGTGGGGTGCGCTCCCGCTGCTCGGTCCCAGCGCCTGCCAACCTAGCAGTTCGAAAGCACTCCCAGGTGCAAGTAGATAAATAGGGACCGCTTACTGGCGGGAAGGTAAACGGTGTTCCGTGTGCTGCGCTGGCTCGCCAGATGCAGCTTTGTCACGCTGGCCACGTGACCCGGAAGTGTCTCCGGACAGCGCTGGCCCCCGGCCTCTTGAGTGAGAGGGGCACACAACCCCAGAGTCTGGCAAGACTGGCCTGTACAGGCAGGGGTACCTTTACCTTTACCTTATCTGATACTAGGAGGAAAGGTCTCTTTCAAAGCGCCACATCTCTTACTGCCAGTTTGCTGGTTCTCCCAATCTAAGGCCAATTTTTAAGCTATTTTATATGAAAGTCACGACATTAGTTAAATACTTGAAAATTCCTGTGCAATCTCCACTTCACATTATTATACTGATTTAGCTCATTCATGAGAACCAGGCACTTAGACCAAGGGAAGTAAACCAAGGCCTGTGTTTCATCCAAACCCACAGAGAGCCTGGGCCAGATTCCAGAGTTGCCCTGATTATGCAGTGACCACTAGGCAACCCAACTCAGCTCCTCACTGCTCTCCTGTCTCTTAAAGCAGCTCAGTTAATCAAAATCTTTCCCGTGCTTTTCATCAGCTTGCTAATAAGAATTATATGTCGGGGGGGAGGGGCATCAGGATTTTAGAGATGCTCAGGTGAGGCATGGCCAAAAAAAGTTTGGGAACCACTGATCTACCGTATTTTTTCCTCTATAAGACTCACTTTTTCCCTCCTAAAAAGTAAGGGGAAATGTGTGTGCGTCTTATGGAGTGAATGCAGGCTGCGCAGCTATCCCAGAAGCCAGAACAGCAAGAGGGATTGCTGCTTTCACTGCGCAGCGATCCCTCTTGCTGTTCTGGCTTCTGAGATTCAGAATATTTTTTTTCTTGTTTTCCTCCTCCAAAAACTAGGTGCGTCTTGTGGTCTGGTGCGTCTTATAGAGCGAAAAATACGGTACTTGCTACAGAACTCTTTCCAACCTAACCTGCTTGCTTTCTTGAATTTGGTAGACATAAAAACAAAAGGCATACCTGGCACCCAAACGCTAGTTAACTTTTCTTCTAAAAATCAGACTAGGTTGTGTGTGTCTCTTCATTTTACTCTTATCTGTACTTTCCTATAACCTTTTGGTATTACTGTGTGAGTGTAATATATGAAAGCACCTAATGCCTCTGAATACCAGTTGCTGGAAATCATGAGCAGGAAAGTGAGATTGTGTTTGTGTTCTGCTTTTGGGTTTTCCACAGGTATCTGTTTGGCCACTGTGAGAATGGGGTGCTTCACTCTATGGGCCTGTAGCTTGATTTAGCAGGGCTTTTCTCACGTCCTTATGATGTATGTGCTTTAGGCAGCAATCCTATACACACTTATTTGGGAATAATAATAATGATGATGATGTTGTTATTATTTGTACTCCACCCATCAGACTGGGTTGCCCCGGCCACTCTGGGCGGTTGAACAATGTGGCTTACTTCTGAGTAAGGATTGCACATACTGCCATTTAAATATGTTATACCGCTTGCTTTCGGCACATAGTAACATTTGCTTAGTGAACGTGGGTCCAGCTGAGATCCAATTGCAATATGTACTGCGGAGGGGCAGGAGATCCTGGAAGGACTAGAGATCTCGTCAACTATTCGACTTCTTGCTCGTCCAGGTTGCCATTCCCAAGCGCTGGAATCTCCTTCTCCGGTAGTAAGCCGTACTCATTTAAGAACGCCTCCACATCCACAGCAAAAAACTCCTCACTGAACTGTTCGGTTACACTGATGAAATTGCTGACGAGCTCCCCACCTTTGTACACAAGAAGCGTTGGGAGGACGTCGGTGGAGAAACGGTCTCCGGCCCCTGTGTTGGAAGCCTTGATCTTGCAGAATTTCACTGTGGAGTACTCGGCAGCAAGGCACGACAGGCTGCTGTTGAGTGCCTCGCAGCCCTTGATGCCATCTTCATAGATGTGGACAATGACTGTGGTGGTTTTCCGCTCCTTCTCGACAGCTTCCAGGAACTGTTCCCCGTTCTGCAGCTCCGAAAGGTAGCCGTACTTTGGCCCGAAGCTCAGTCGCTGGTGCATGTCCTGCATACAACGCTTTCGATACTTCCGTAGGCAGCTTTCGTCTTCCATGTCTTCGTTAATTAGCTCGTACTCTTGCACGCTCATCTGGAAACATTTGGAAGAATAAGCAGAATTATTATGGAATAGGTAAAAGGTAAAAAAAGGGATGTGGGTGGCGCTGTGGGTTAAACCACGGAGCCTAGGACTTGCCGATCAGAAGGTCAGTGATTCGAATCCCCACGAAGGGGTGAGCTCCCGTTGTTCAGTCCTTGCTCCTGCCCACCTAGCAGTTCAAAAGCATGCCCGTGCAAGTAGATCAATAGGTACCACTGTGGTAGGAAGTTAAACAGCATTTCCATGCGCTCTGGTTTCCGTCATGGTGTCCTGTTGCACCAGAAGCTAGATAAATAGGCGGGAAAGTAAACGCCATTTCCATGTGCTGCTCTGGTTCGCCAGAAGCGGCTTAGTCATGCTGGCCACATGGCCCAGAAGCTGTCTGTGGACAAACGCCGGCTCCCTTGGCCTATAGAGCGAGATGAGCACGCAACCCCAGAGTCGGTCACGACTGGACCTAATGGTCAGGGGTCCCTTTACACTTTACCTTTAAAAGGTAAAAAAAAGCTAAAGGACCCCTGGACGGTTAAGTCCAGTCAAAGGCGACTATGGGGTTGCAACGCTCATCTCGCTTTCAGGACGAGGGAGCCGACATTTGTCCACAGACAGCTTTCTGGGTCATGTGGCCAGCAGGACTAAACCGCTTCTGGTGCAACAGACAGACAGTGCATGACAGAAACCAGAGAGCACAGAAACACTGTTTATCTTCCTACCACAGCGGTACCTATTTATCTACTTGCACTGTTGTGCTTTCAAACTGCTAGGTTGGCAGGAGCTGGGACAGAGCAACGGTAGCTCACCCCGTTGCAGGGATTCAAACTGCCGACCTTCTGATCAGTAAACCCAAGAGGCTTAGTGGTTTAGACCACAACGCCACCCGTGTCCCTTATTACGGAATACAGTGGTTTACTCAATGAACATCGCTCCATGGAACCTCATGGAACAAGAGGAGAAAACTTTGAGAATAGGAGAGGAGCGCTTGGGTGCCATTTCTTGAACTTTTAATGATATTTTCTTTAAGTTGTATCTATGCTCATACTCTTGGTGTGGATGAAACTTCCCTCCTGATGCAAACAGCAGCTTTCAAGGGTGGGGCTTCTATTGCATCCTGCTCTCATAACCAAGAATACTGTTGAATACTAACGCATGGGACACGGGTGGCGCTGTGGGTTAAACCACAGAGCATAGGACTTGCCGATCAAAAGGTCGGCAGTTAGAATCCACGCAACGGGGTGAGCTCCCGTTGCTCGGTCCCTGCTCCTGCCAACCTAGCAGTTCGAAAGCACGTCAAAGTACAAGTAGATAAATAGGTACCGCTCCGGCGGGAAGGTAAACACCGTTTCCATGTGCTGCTCTGGTTCGCCTGAAGCGGCTTAGTCATGCTGGCCACATGACCCGGAAGCTGTACGCCGGCTCCCTCGGCCAATAAAGCGAGATGAGTGCCGCAACCCCAGAGTCGGTCACGACTAGACCTAATGGTCAGGGGTCCCTTTACCTTTACCTTTACTAACGCAACAGTCCTAACCCCACTTACCAGCAAATTCAATAGGATTTACATCTAAGTAGGTATGGTTATGATTTTGCTGTAAATTAGCACATCAATAAAGGAAGTTGAGCGGGCAAAGAAATACAGAACCCTTAGGGCACACAGATGGATAAATTGCCAAAGCCATGTTTGCAACTGTGGATAGATATTTTTGCAACTCTTGTTGAGTTATGGCAGTATGAATACCCTCGAGGAAGCAATTTGTTTTCTCTTGAGTGACATTAATGCCGATGTAACACACAAAGTGGCTTTCTTTTTGCTCTACTAGCAAAATCAGAAAGAGAGAACTAGATTAAATTGCTGTAAACTGCTGTGGAGATACAGAGATTGGCTTCTTAGGTATTCCTGACATGATGTCGGGTTCAGAATTTTAAACTCTTGCATTGCTGCATCGATCTGTTGCAGTATGTATTTGTCATGGCCTTTGCCCACAACAATAAAATAGAGTGGATTGAACATATGAACCCGCTTGTTTCTCCAGCATGGCTTAGTTTTGTGAATACTTCAGCATGGTAAGACTACATACACACGATTTAAAGCACTATGACACCACTTTAAGCAGTCATAGCTTCCCCCAAAGAATTCTGGGAGCTGAGGATGCTGAGAGACTTTAAAGGTAAAGGGACCCCCGACAATCAGGTCCAGTTGTGGCCGACTCAGGGGCTGCGGCGCTCATCTCGCTTTATTGGCCGAGGGAGCCGGCGAACAGCTTCTGGGTCATGTGGCCAGCAGGACTAAGCCGCTTCTGGCGAACCAGAGCAGCACACGGAAATGCCGTTTACCTTCCCGCCGGAGTGGTACCTATTTATCTACTTCTACTTTGACGTGCTTTCGAACTGCTAGGTTGGCAGGAGCTGGGACCGAGCAACGGGAGCTCACCCCGTCGCGGGGATTCGAACTGCCAACCTTCTGATTGGCAAGTCCTAGGCTCTGTGGTTTAACCCACAGCGCCACCCGCGTCCCAACAAAGGATGTGTCAGAAGACTTTACAAGACTCCTATTTCCTCCTAGAGCTACAATTCTCACAGTTCTCTGTGGAGAGGAATGGAATGTTAAGCCACTCTGGAAATTGTAGTTCTGGGAGGGGCTCTGACACTCCTCCCCCACTGGTCACGTTGTGCGGATGCCTGATGATCGTCTTCCAAAGCAACTACTCTATTCTGAACTTAAAAATGGAAAGCGTAATGCTGGTGGTCAACAAAAGAAGTTTAAAGACTTTCTCAACGCAAATCTAAAAAAAATAAATGTAGTAGCAACACCGACAACTGGGAAACACTGGCCTGTGAGTGCTCCAATTGGAGAACAGCCTTTCCCAAAGGTCTCATGAGCTTTGAAGATGCTCGAACTCAGGACAAAAGGGAGAAACGTGCTAAGAGGAAGGCACGCTTGGCAAACCCTCACCGTGATCAACTCCCGCCCGGAAACCTATGTCCCTGCTGCGGAAGGATGTGTGGATCCAGAATTGGCCTCCATAGTCACTTACAGACCCACTGTTAAAACCGTGTTCATGGAAGGCAATCTTACTCAACTGTAAGTGATCGCCAAAGAGAATGCAAGGGGGAATCCGGACTGGACCAGAATTTTCTCTTCTGTGGAGGATCTTTATGTGTGTATAACACCACTCTTCTCATGAATTCTGGAAATGCAGGTGGTGGCATGGCTGCTCAGTGCATTGATGGCATTTTCTGATTCCTCACCCCATTTAATCACTTCCATTGTGTATCTCCACCCCACTCTCTTACCTTGCGACTGAATCGCTCCCTCGTGTCTTTATCATCCCTACTTTGAGAGCGATAGGGTGAAGACATCTGTCTGATGAGAATCTCTTTCTTGCTGACAGGAAGGGCGTTCCTGTCTTTACTTTCCAATTTAAACTTTCTCCAGTCGTTGATCACCCCTTTAGGCCCTAGGAGAAGGAAAGGTGGTTGTTATTTCGCATTCTTTCTTTTAGGGGTTTGCCAGCTGCCTCGACGTTCAGAACAATGGGTCAAGGGCTGGAGCTTACTAAAGGCAAGAATGCAAAATGCACAATGCTCAACATATATATGCGTGTGTGTGTGTGTGTGTGTGTACACACACACACACACATTGAAAAGCAAAACCCAGTATAAACAACATTAAAAAATGCATTTAATACAGTGCAACTGCTTCAAACATATGGTACAACAGAACAATTGTTGAGTGGAAAAAATGCACGACTATCCATCTATCATAATATAAGTATAACTTTAACATTCTTGTCTTTTCAAGTAAGATTTTCAGTACAGTCATACCTCATGTTACGTTTGCTTCATGATACGTTTTTTCAGGTTGCGTCCCGCGGCGACCCGGAAGTACCAGAAAGGGTTACTTCCGGGTTTTGCCGCTCGCACATGTGCAGAAGCGCTAAATTGTGCTTCACGCATGCACACCAGCTCCAAATTGCGCCGCGCACCTGCACAGATACGGCGCTTCAGGTTGCAGGCTTTTCATGTTGCGAACGGGCCTCTGGAACAGATCCCATTCGCAACCAGAGGTACCACTGTAGTCTGAGAGAACCCAGAAAGGAAAAGCTATCATGATAACGTATTGATGACAAAGCTCTGCGGATGTCCCATAAAGACTGCTTATTGTATTTCCGGCAGTGGCAGTTGTGGCCTGGCACAATGGGAGCTAGGAGGGGTAGGGAGGCTCTGCCACACCACTGCCGGTGGCATCTTCTGTCTCAGTTGGTTGCTAAGACTTCAGGGACTTCCTGCCTTGGTTTTTAATTTAAAACACCCAATAAGGGCCGTTCTAAAGGGGTGTTGGAGACAGACCTGAGGGAGCCTGTCTCTACTCGGGTCATATATTTCAGCTGCACGGTCAGCAACGGTTGTCTCACCTGCCCAGCACACTTGTTGCATTCTCCGAGGGAAAGTGAGCAGTGTTTGCATGATATTGCTGTGGAATTATTCGGTTGCTGTATTCAGGGCCATGGAGGAATTTGCCTGTAGATAGATTGGGCCTATCTGGTGGCTTTTGCCTACCTCATAGCAACTGTCACAACGTCTGGCAGAAAAGGCGTTGGGTTGGATCGTTAGTCAAAACTAGAAATGAGGGTTTAGTGTACTATGGGCTTCTGGAGGAAAGTTTTGTTGAAAGATCTAGGCTAATGGGCCATAAAATTCCTCCAAATGGCAACCTGGTAAGTTTTCTCCCATTTGATCTGTATCATGGGGGAATCCTTTAAACCAGGATCAACTCTAATGGAGCAATCAGCCAGCAACCAGGCAAGGCTGATTCCGGATACGTACCCAAGGCCTACTTGTACCTGTAATCAATAAAAAATTGTGGCAGTTTCAATTCCAAATGGTTTCCCTGTCATTATTGCTACCTTCAGGCTCCTGAACCCTGGTGACCCCGGGATCACTGCTCCTGGGCCTGCAAACTCTGAGAGAACAATGGCTATTATACAGGAAGGTTCTAATGTGGAAGCAACCTTAGTAGAAAAAGGATCTGCTATGGGCTAGGTACCAGAGTCTGGCTTTGTTTGATGGTTCAATGTGAAGCCTGATGAATATATGTGTGGGAGAACTGGTCTCCCTCCTCACCTTCCCACCATCCCAGTATGTGAACATGAAAGCCCTAAGTATCTCAGCTTCTTCACAGGTGGAAATCTGTGAGGAAAGAATGGAGATGGAAGAACATGGGGAGTTCCATCCTCAGGAATAAAAGGAGACAGATCCAACTCAGCTTCCACATTGACTGTGAAACATTTGAGCAGAAGGAGAAGACTGGGCATACCTTTTGTTTGGCAATAGAGGGAGGTTGAGATTGCTCATCCCGAGTCAATTGCAGGGGCAGGGGGGGGGGGAGGGAAGAATTTTGGCTTGGGCCAAGTGCTGTGAAAGATGTGCTTTGAATAAACCAAACTACAGTGGTACCTCAGTTTTCAAAAGTAATCCGCTCCGGAAGATCGTTCGAGTTCTGAAACATTCGAAAACTGAAAACTCAATAGCTGACAGCTAGGCCTCAGGATCTTGCACTCAGCAGATGCCACATGGCATGTTTGATTTCCAAGGCGTGTTCGAAAACCGAAGCATTTACTTCCGGGTTTACGGCGTTCGAAAACCGAAATGTTCTGAAACGTTCGAAAACTGAAAACTCAATAGCTGACAGCTAGGCCTCAGGATCTTGCACTCAGCAGATGCCACGTGGCATGTTTGATTTCCAAGGCGTGTTCGAAAACCGAAGCATTTACTTCCGGGTTTACGGCGTTCGAAAACCGAAATGTTCGTCAACGGAGACATTCGAAAACTGAGGTACCACTGTACCTGCCATAGCAGGCAAAGAATTAAGGCATTCTGCTGTGGAGATATTCCTCAGAAAGGTGACCTCCACTTGCAGAATACAGTGGTACCTGAGGTTAAGAACTTAATTCGTTCCAGAGGTCCGTTCTTAACTTGAAACTGTTCTTAACCTGAGGTACCACTTTAGCTAATGGAGCCTCCTGCTGCCTCCGCACAATTTCTGTTCTCATCCTGAAGCAAAGTTCTTAACCCGAGGTACTGTTTCTGGGTTAGCGGAGTCTTTAACCTGAAGCGTCTGTAACCTGAAGTGTCTGTAACCCGAGGTACCACTGTATATTAAACTTTATGTCTCCACTAATCTACCATTGATAAAGTCCTTCTCTTCCTCTGTCGAGTTCCTCATTGATGGGCCCTTGGTGCTTGATGTTTAACAATAGTTGAAATGATAGGCCTACTTTCTTCAGATTTACCTCATTCACATGTAGAGTGATGTATACCAGTGTCCCTTGCAATTTCCCAAAGCAATGAATATTCCTGAATACTTACTTAATAATGGGTCATAATCCATACAATATGATTTTGTTGCTGTTACTATGGATACATAGTGCAAGAGACACGTAAGAGACATTAGCCCACGAGTAACAAGGCTTTCTTACCTGTATGTATAGCTTCTGGTGCTTCAAGTTCCTCTTCCAAACTAAGCTCTTTTTGCCCTTCCATTGCCGTGATTGGATTGACAGACACTAACAGGATCAAGGAAGAAAACAGTAAACACACGGGCAGATGAGCTACATGCTTTCAGAGTCTGCTAACATGTACTTTTATGTTGTTACAGCTTTATACCGGTAATTACTGCTCTCCTTATGAAATCATAATGAATAAGTCTCCTATTAACATCTCATAAAGTTAAAAAAAAGAACACTATATCCAGTTTTTTAAAGGGGTTATTAAAAGAAGTCTAGACTAGAAGCTTGCTACAGACTATGTAGAATGTGATTAAAGGGCGCAGGGTTCTCCCTGTGATGCGCCGTCATTTACTACAGATATTCCATGCTTTATTGATCTATTATTATATATACACACTCATAAACTTGCCAACCAGGAAAGAAGGAAGTTAAGTTTGGACATATTTAACCGCGAGGCTAGGTGTGACTATGTATTTGTCTACATTTTTCTTGTCTACAGAAAGTTGTTTGGAGACTTTTGGGTGACAAGCAACTGATAAGCTGAAGAAACGAACAATGTAGTGATGCCTTTCAACCCTGAGTTGACCACATATGATGTATACACATCCAGGAACCACAGCCTCCCATGTTTTTTGGAAATGTCTGGATGTCCTACAAACATTGCATTCAGCCCGCAGTGACAAAGTAGGGGACCTGTCTTTTTCCATGACAGTACTCAAACCTTTTTTGGGACGCGGGTGGCGCTGTGGGTTAAACCACAGAGCCTAGGGCTTGCCGTTCAGAAGGTCGGCGGTTCGAATCCCCGCGCCGGGGTGAGCTCCCGTTGCTCAGTCCCTGCTCCTGCCAACCTAGCAGTTCGAAAGCACGTCAAAGTGCAAGTAGATAAATAGGTACCGCTCCGGCAGGAAGGTAAACGGCATTTCCGTGCGCTGCTCTGGTTCGCCAGAAGTGGCTTAGTCATGCTGGCCACATGACCCAGAAGCTGTACGTCGGCTCCCTTGGCCAATAAAGCGAGATGAGTGCCGCAACCCCAGAGTCGGTCACGACTGGACCTAATGGTCAGGGGTCCCTTTACCTTTACTCAAATCTTTTATCTGTTGCCTTGTGGGACGTCTTTGGGAGAAGTAAAGGCTAAGGAGTAAACCCGACAAAAATCCGGACTGGAGTCCTAAGACAGTTGTATGTTGGCTTGCATGCCTCCTTCCAGCAACTCCTGCAGCCAAGCTGGTGCCAAATGTATTGCTCTACTTTCCCTCGGACCACATCAGTGAGGCCAAGAAGACCTCTGTACATACCGCCCAGGCTTGCGCCCCAGAGAGGTTACTTCTGTGCTTCTAACACAGCAAAAAACAACCATTACGAGTTATCAGTCTCTGCAGCCACAGCTGGCGCTGTGATTCTCCAACTCTTTGACTTCAACCCCTGCAAGGGCACTCTGTTGTCTCTCGAGACAGATAGATGCCAACAACAAGAACTTGATCCTTTGATTTGATACGCAGCCAGTATTTTGGCCCTGCAAATGGTTGTATGTGTAGATTGGGGGCCAACCTAAGTCTTCAAAAATTAAAAAGGAGATTTTCAAAACAAGGAACTGGACCTTCTAGGTATGTTTGTGTTGGACCACACCCAACCTGAATTTATTGAAAAGTCCCTTTGGCTTCAAAAAAGCATAGTACTATTGAAAAGTGTGTTATTTTAGAGGGTCCTAGTGAATTAGCCTCAAGCTGTGAATGCAGAGCTGCTCTTTCTTTGCTCCGTGACAAAACTGGATAAAACACACAGCTCACATGGCAAACTCAGACCTCCCCATCACTCTCTACCCCTGGCAGAGATGGAAGAGTCGGTTCACATTGGGAGCTAACTTGCTTCTTTATTCCTTCCAAGTACAGTGGTACCTCGGGTTAAGTACTTAATTCGTTCCGGAGGTCCGTTCTTAACCTGAAACTGTTCTTAACCTGAAGCACCACTTTAGCTAATGGGGCCTCCTGCTGCCACCGCGCCACCGGAGCACGATTTCTGTTCTCATCCTGAAGCAAAGTTCTTAACCTGAAGCACTATTTCTGGGTTAGCGGAGTCTTTAACCTGAAGCGTCTGTAACCTGAAGGAACTTTTTAAATTTTATTTTAAAGGTGAAGGAAGCAAGCATTCAGGTGCTCTTTTAGATGGTGTTGCGTGGAGGGAATTTCAAGAAGAAATTGGGGGGGGGCAAACACCATAGAGGCTATGTCCCCCTACCCCTTTTAAAAGTAGAATCTTATCAACTTGGAATGAACAGACCCACCCTTTTTGGAAGCACCCTTGTTTATGTGCCATTGAGTTAAAAACACCACAGCTCCTCAGGGGCCAAATAGACCAAACAAGGCCACCACTTTAGTTTAATCACATCTACCTCGCTCGAATATAAAGCAGTAGAGGGGATGCAGTTTTTCCACCACATGGTGCCCGTCTGTGAGCGAGGAATAATTTTATCTCTGCATTTTGTTACTTCAGGCACTCTTTCTTACTTAATAGGTAATGGCTTGTATACCTGAAGGAGCATCTCCACCCCCATCGTTCAGCCCGGACACTGAGATCCAGCACTGAGGGCCTTCTGGCGGTTCCCTCATTGCGAGAAGTGAGGTTACAGGCAACCAGACAGAGGGCCTTCTCGCTAGTGGCGCCCACCCTGTGGAACACCCTCCCTTCAGATGTGAAGGAAATAAGCAGCCATCCTGTCTTTAAAAGACATCTGAAGGCAGCCCTGTTCAGGGAAGTTTTTAATATTTAACACTGTATTGTTTTTAACACTTGATTGGGAGCTGCCCAGAGTGGCTGGGGAAACTCAGCCAGATGGGCGGGGTATAAATAATAAATAAATAAATAAATTATTATTATTATTATTATTATTATTATTATTATTATTTTTACAAAGATATTGCTCTATTGGAAGCACTGCCTGATCCAAGTCCTGTTTAAGGAGAATTAACCATCAGTCAGGAGAAGAAGGCCCTTAAACTGCCCAGCTACACCACAAGGTAAAGGTAAAGGACCCTGGACAGTTAAGTCCAGTCAAAGGTGACTATGGGGTTGCGGCGCTCATCTCACTTTCAGGCCGAGGGAGCCGGCGTTTGTCCACAGACAGCTTTCCGGGTCATGTGGCCAGCATGACTACACCGCTTCTGGCACAACGGAACACCGTGATGGAAACCAGAGTGCATGAAAACGCCATTTACCTTCCTGCCGCAGTGGTACCTATTTATCTACTTGCACTGTTGTGCTTTTGAACTGCTAGGTTAGCAGGTCTCCTGGTCACAGCCTGCCCCACTAGGGGAAAAATATTACGTTTCTATTTAAATGACAGTAATTATTTCTAAATTTGCACCTTTAGGTATAATTCAGCATATGCAAATTTTGTACAAATCTGTGTCCTCTTGTTTGGTGAGGTGTGAGTAACCTCTCCATCACCAGGGCTGGTGACTGGGAAAGTAGGCTTGTGTGTGTGTAAGAAAGTTCACTTCCCAGCCACACGTTTGTGCTGTTTTTATTGTAAAAAAATCAGACGTCCCTCCTGTTTTATGAGCTAGCAGGAAACATATGAATGGCAAGCACTGCGACCCCTGTAGCTTTCAGTTTGGTAAACCAAATAAATGCGTTCAGGTTTAACATGAATTGCAAAAAAAGTTTGCAGACAGTTAACGACTAGTTTTGAAGACTTTTTGGGTGTGTGGTTCTGAAGGTGAGACAATATTGCTACGTTTGAAATTAGAAATTAATTTGATTTGGGTTTTGTTCTGTTTGGCCTCCAGAGATATCCCAAGGAAGCAAAACTGGAGCGGCAAGTATGAACAGGAATGACTGGCTAGCATCAAAAGAGACACGTATCTTGACTATGCAGCAAATTAATTACAGAAATATAGATTTACTACTTCCTTGAATTTTGCAAGGCCTGAGGGACTACAGGGCACCAGAGTAAAGCAAGGGAAGGGGGAATAGCTCAGGGATGGAGCAGGTAAATTGCCTGCAAAATATCTCAGCTTCAGTCCCTGGCATCTACAAGTAGACTTGGGAAAGACTCTTCTTGCCTGAAGAAACACTGAGCTGAAGCTAGACAGTAGCCAACGTGGTGCCCTTCAGATGTTGTTTGACTACAACTCCCATCAGCCCCAGCCAGCATGGCCAATGCTCTGGGATGGCCAATGACATTGGCAGTTGTAGTCCAGCAATGTCTGGAGGCCACTCCTGTTACGGGGGTATATGGATGCTACTAGTCCAGGCATAGGCAAACTCGGCCCTCCAGCTGTTTTGGGACTACAACTCCCATCATCCCTAGCTAAAAGGACCAGTGGTCAGAGATGATGGGAGTTGTAGTCCCAAAACATCTGGAGGGCCGAGTTTGCCAATGCCTGTACTAGCCTATTTCTCTGTCCAAGATCTCTAGATTTACCATTTCTGAGGGTTTTTTAAACTGGATTTTCTGCAGGATAATATGGGGCTTTATACTTTATCATTTATATTTTAAACTGCATCATTTTCTTACAGAGAAAACACTTGGATGTTGACAAACACACACTCCCCTCATGGAAAAACACATGAAATTTATAGCACATGCATCTTACAGCAGCAAATTCCCCTCCTTTGACAATATTTGGTAAGGGTAATAGTCTGCATGCATATACAGCAAAATGCTTACATATATGATTGTTACATGTGGCAATCTACACATGCACTGAAGTATCATGGGGAAAATATTTTGCCCCCTCCATATTTTTTACCCAAGAAGACATGGCCTCTAACCTTTCTCCAATGAAAAGAGGGACATCCTATTCCATACCCTCTAATATTTCTCTGATGAAAATAGGAACACGGGTGGCGCTGTGGGTTAAACCACAGAGCCTAGGACTTGCCGATCAGAAGCTCGGCAGTTCGAATCCCTGCGATGGCGTGAGCTCCCATTGCTCGGTCCCTGCTCCTGCCAACCTAGCAGTTCAAAAGCACGCCAAAGTACAAGTAGATAAATAGGTACCGCTCCAGCGGGAAGGTAAACGGCGTTTCCGT